ACTCTAAGACACCATAAACAGCTACAGTAAGGTGGCAGGATACAAAATCAACCTACAAAAATCATTAGCTTTTCTATACACAAACAATGAACAAACTGAGAAGGAATATATGGAAAAAATTCCATTCATAATAGCCTAAAAAAAATCAAATACCTAGGAGTAAATTTAACAAAAGATGTGAGTGAATTCTACAAGGAGAATTACAAACTCCTGAAGAAAGAGATTGAGGAAGGTTACAGAAGATGGAAAGATATTCCATGCTCATGGATCGATAGATCACAACATAGTAAAATGGCTATACTACTGAAAGCAATCTACATGCAATTCCCATCAAAATCCCAATGACTTTCATCACAGAGATTGAAAAATCTACTCTAAAGTTCTTTTAGAAGCACAAGAGACTGTGAACAGCCAAGGGAACACTCAGCAACAAAAGCAATGCTGGGGCGGGCAGGACGGCAGCGCGTGCCCGGAGCTCTTTGCCTTCCCCCGCCTGCCATCCGAGGCAGCCGGAATCCAGCCCGCAGCCCCAGCAGCAGCGCCATGTCCGGGTGGCACGCCTACATAGACAGCCTCATGGCGACGGGACCTGTCAGGACGCGGCGCCCTCCGTCTGGGCGCCCTCCTGGGAAAACTTCCTCACATCACGCCAGCTGAAGTTGGTGTCCTGGTTGGCAAGAGACCGGTCAAGTTTTTTTGTGAATGGGCTGACACTTGGGGGCCAGAAATGTTCTGTGATCCGGGACTCACTGCTGCAAGATGGGGAATTTACCATGGATCTTCGTACCAAAAGCTCGGGTGGAGCTCCCTCCTTCAACGTGACTGTCACCATGACTGCCAGGACGCTAGTCCTGCTGATAGGCAAAAAAGGTGTTCACGGTGGTTTGATCAACAAGAAATGTTACGAAATGGCCTCCCACCTGCGGCGTGCCCAGTACTGACCTCATTTGTTCCTTTCCCCCACCACTCCTCACAGCTTTTGCACCCCCTCATTCCCATACACACACATACCATTTTTATTTTTGGGCCATTACCCATATCCTTATTGCTGCCAAACCACATGGGCTGGAGGCCGGGGCTGGATGGACAGATACCTCCCCTACTCATACCCTCCTGTTTGTAATTGGAAAACATTTTGTTTTTTGTTTTTGTTTTCTGAATAAAAAAAGATTCTACTAAAAAAAAAAAAAAAAAAAGCAATGCTAGAGGTATCACAATACCCAACTTCAAACTATATTACAAAGCAATAGCAATAAAAACAGCATGGTGCTGGCACAAAAAACAGACATGAAGACCAATGGAACAGAATAGAAGATTCAGATATAAATCCACACAATTATATCTACCACATTTTTACAAAGGTGCCAAAAACATACGATGGAGAATAGACAGCCTCTTCAACAAATGTTGATGGGAAAAGTGGCTATCCATCTGCAAGAAACTGAAACTAGATCCATGTCTATTGCCCTGTACTTGTATCAACTCAAAATGGATCAAGGACCTTAATATCAGACCCCAAACTCTGAAGTTAGTACAGGAAGAGCAGGAACACTCTGGAACTAATAGGTATAGGCAAGGACTTCCTCAATAGAACTCCAGCAGCCACAGCAACTAAGAGAAAGAATGGACTAATGGACTTCATAAAATTAAAAAGCTTCTGCACAACAAAAGAAATGGTCTGTAAACTGAAGAGACCACCCACAGAGTGGGAGAAAATACTCCCTAGCTATACATCAGAAAAGGGACTGATAACAAGAATATACAGAGAACTTAAGAAACTAAACTCTCTTAAAATCAATGAACCAATTAAAAAATGGGCAACTGAACTTAATAGAACTCTCTCAAAAGAAGAAAATCAAATGGCCAAAAAACACATGAAAAAAATGCTCACCATCTCTAGCCATAAAGGAAATGCAAATCAAAACCGCCCTAAGATTCCACCTTACCCCTGTTAGAATAGCCATCATGAAAAACACCACCAACAATATGTGTTAGCGAGGATGTAGGGAAAAAGGAACCCTAATCCACTGCTGGTAGTAATGCAAGCTGGTGCAACCACTCTGGAATAAAATTTGGAGGATTTTTAAAAATCTAAACATAGACCTGCCATATGATCCAGCAATCCCACTCCTGGGGATATACCCAAAAGAATGCAACACAGGTTACTCCAGAGACACCTGCACACCCATGTTTATTGCAGTGCTATTCACAATAAGCAAGTTATGAAACAACCAAGATGGCCCATTACTGACAAATGGATCGAGAAAATGTGGTACTTGTATATAATGGAGTTTTACTCATCCATGAAGAAGAATGAAATCTTATTATTTGCAGGTAAATGGTTAGAAGTAGAGAACATCATTCTGAGTGAGGTCAGTCAGGCTCAGAAGACCAAAAGTCACATATTCTCCCTCATTTGCGGACTTTAGATCTAGGGCAAATGCATCAGTATGGTTGGACTGGAATCACATGACAAGGAGAGAGCACATATGGGTGATATAGAAATAGGTAGGAAACCCAAAACATGGAAGTGTTTGATGTCCCCACTCCAGAGGAGCTAATACAGAAACCTTAAAGATAGAGAGGTTATCATGAGAAGGGGATCCATAACCAGGGTAAAGATCAATTGGAGGTGAATCAACATGGGTCATAACATGTATACAAGAAAACAATGCTAAGAATATTTCTGGATAGCTATCCTTAACTAGCAAAAACACTTTGTCTTCCTTATTATGCTTGTCTCTTTTCTTCAACAAAACTAGTGATAATGGCAGAACAGGATCTGCCTGGAACTGAGGGGGAAAGGGGGAAGGGGGTAGGAGAGGGGGCAGGGAGGAAAAATAACCAAACAATGTATGCACATGTGAATAAGTGAATAATAATAAAAAAAAAAGAGAGTAGCTAGAAAAGGAAGATATTTTCAGTTCTCCAAATACTTTCTAACTATTTATATTCCAGTCCAGGCAGGTCTTAAAATAATTTTTGGTATTAGGTACAAATGTAGTCAAACAATAGTTGTCATATTTCTATGATAGAAGTTACTTCTACTATGTATTCCACTTAGTCCTGCTTCACAAATTTTTATTCTTTATCCTTGGTTATCTTCAAGGAGACCACATTGGCATAATGGAGTGGGAAAATATGTTATATTCAGATAGATCACTATTTATTCAGGCTTAATCATCTAGTGCCTGTGAAACTGTTAAAAGATAACACAAAGAAATCAAGACTTTTAAACTTAATATGTGAAACATTTTATACCACTGGAGTTATACTTGAAATTATTGCATGTGCTATTACATATAAAAAATACTTAGAAAAACTAACAGAACAGATGGCATTTCTGCTGGAATGAAAAGACTGTAAGGAGTCAAAATCAGTAATTTATTTTCTTAATTTCTCTATGAACTCTTTCATGCTGATGTGATGGTGGCCAAAAGTTAATGTTAAGCATAAATTCTCTCTGTTTACTCTAAGCTACAATAGGAAAAAAAAGGCATGAAGAAGCCACCATAGATTCATGATCTGACTCTACCACTACTCCCCATGCCATTGTTCTCCAAAATACATGTCACAAAAACAAATTCATAGTTAAGAGTAAATTAGGACATTTTTAAACTAAGAGAGTTAGTGACAGCACAGACTGGAGACGGTGGATTCTCTCATCTCTTACAAATATATGTTTTTTCTGTTGTGGGTATCTTCATACACTAGGCACAACCAAGTGAAACCCAAAGGAAAGTACTGGTCATTACAAGAAGCCTTCACTGCTCTAGATCACAAGAATTAAAGTTGTTATTAGCATTTAAGATTGTTCATCTCACTAAATAAAGAATAAACTAGGTCTAATCAGAAGTCATGACTAGAGATAAAAAGCACATACATTCCTCCAAATCATTATCTGTTTAAGAATTTCAAGTACAGTGATAGAGATTTAATGGGAATTTAGAAATATGATCTTTTTTTCCTGACTTGAAATTCAATAATCACATATGTTTGATTTTGTGCTAAAACTGTGATTTTCTCCTATTTCTTAGTGATTTTTATACACCATAGGTTCATTTTGTATAACTTTGTTAGATGACCAATTCTGTCTAATCTTACGTTTGCCGTATTACATTGTATAATTATCCATCAATAACTATGTATTTAAATGATAGAAATGTCATATATTAGAATGAGTTAAAGCATCTCAAAAATCAATACTTTATCACAACAATATAAGTTCATGGTCTAAGTCACTCTGTATCAGTTTAAGTAAAAGAATATCAATTCAGAAATATGTGGCTTCCAACTTACGTATGTTTTTTAAAGATGGAGCTCCTGATAGATGCTTTTTGAAATCGGCATGTGGATACTTCTTTTCCTCTTATAATAAAACCTTTATAATGTGTATATTAATAGTCCCTGAATCCTGCCTACATGTGTCATCTTTAGACTCTTTCATTTTTGTCACATGTATCAGCATCATCATATATATCAGTTTTGTCATATTACTATTCAAATTTCAAAATCATGCCAAAAGGCAAATTTCTGAAGTTGTCACATGTTATAAGTATGCCAGAAGATACTAATTAGAAACAAGACAATTTGAGAAAGGGCAAATATAAAAAAGGATGCAAATATAAATTCTTCATCAAGACAACAAATGATAATCTTTATCATTTTCAGAGCAATTTTGTGTATTGTTGATGAGCTCTTCTCTCTTTTTCTTCTGCTTCTCTCTCTCTCTCTCAATAAGGTAAATGCCATAATTTCCACCAATATACATTTAAAGACACCAGAGCACAGAAAAAGTAAGTAATTTATGCTATGTCAACAGTCAAAATTAGTGGAGGGGAGAGAAAGAGAAGGGGAGGAAAAGGAAGAAAGGAAGAAAATTACTCTTCTGTGGTCTATTCTGTTCACAGTTCATCTGGAGGTACAATTGGTTCTTGGATGGTTGGACAAAAGCGTTGTCAGTTGCATTTAGTAGCAGGATTATTTCTGTAAGTCACAGCCTACGGCATTCCTTTGCATATGCAGTTGACCACTATGTCTCGCATTTCCTTCATCTTTACACCATAGATGATGGGGTTGAACATTGAAGGCAGTAGAAGATAGAGGTTGGCTAGGAGAATATGGGCATGAGGAGGAATATTACTACCAATGCGGTGGGTGATTGAAGAAAAGAGTGCAGGCACATAAGTGACAAGGATGACAAAAACATGGGCTGAGCAGGTGCTGAGGGCTTTGAAGGTAGCATCTCGAGACTTGAGACGAACCACAGCCTGCAGGATGAGGGCATAGGAGAAGCCAATGAGCAGCAGATCAAATCCTACCACAAGCAAGATCACGAAAAGCCCATAAATACGATTGGGTCTGGTGTGGTTACAGGCCATTTTCACCACAGCCATGTGGTCACAGTATGTGTGAGGAATGACCATATGGCAGAAAGTTAGTCTTTGAAGTAGAAGAGGAAAAGGCAGGATAAGAATCACACCTTTGGCTAGTGCCACCAGTCCCAGGCGTCCAACTAGAGAATGGCTCAGAATTGTGTTGTAGTGTAATGGTTCACATACAGCCACAAAACGGTCAAAGGCCATTGCAACAAGTAGAGCTGATCGTACTACGGATGCTCCATGGATGAAAAACATCTGTGTGAAACAGGCATTGGAAGTTATGTCTTGGTCATTGAGCCAGAAGAGGCACAGGAGCTTGGGCACAAAAGCTAGAGTGGATATGAGGTCAACTACCATCAGCAGGGCCAGGAGCAGATACATTGGTGTGTGAAGTGTGGACTTTGTCACCACCAGGAAGAGAACAGCACCATTGCCAATAAGGATGACCAAAAACATGGAGAAGAAAGGAATAGATAGCCATGGGTGCTGTGACTCTAAGCCTGGTATGCCTGTCAGAGTGAAGGTTATAAAGCTGGAATGGTTGAAGATTAGCATGGTAGAAACTGCTGGTGGTTTAAAAAAATTTAGACACCTGCCAATGAGACATGAGTGGTGAGTTGTTTTTACTGGTTTGAGTTATAGTGACCTATTGAGTAGGGGCCCAGAGAAAAGTGGCACAATGCCACTTTGAAATGATTCACCATCCAATTTCAGGTCAATTTTTAAGCACCTTTACTGTTTTCATAGTCTTTTTTTTTTTTTAAATGAGGCTTTGACTTCTTTTCTGTAAAAAAGATGTTGTGAGCTTTTATTCTCACCCCTTAACAGTTTAGTAATTCTATATGTCAAAATTTAAGTTCTGCATAAGAAAAGGAAGAAATATTTTTATTTTTGAAGAAAAGAAGGGAGACCCTTATAGAATTATGATATTTTAATTGGTAATCCTCCAACACATAAAAAGAGGAAATAAGCTTCCTCACCCCCTATTCCAAGAGTGCTGAGCTGTAGGGGGAAACAACACTTGAGCTCTTTTACTTCTACATGATTTTCTTTCATGGGTCCACTTTTCTTTTCCTAGGGCCTTCTTTTGAGGAGGTTTTTGAACTGATTTGTGCATCTCTCTCTATCTCTTCTGCTATTCCTGGCTTTTATGTATATGTTGTATTACCTTTAATTGTGAAGTATTTACTTCAAACTAGTGAACTGAAATACCTAAGAACATTCACATGTTCTTAAATTCTTATCATGAATTAAACAGAATTTCTCTCTCCTTCCAGGTCATCTATGTGCATTCCAAGAAGTAAATCAAGACCCTTTCTGCTAATATCTGTCTCTCTGGTACCCACTGTCTTCAATTGTCTACGCTTTGTCCAACCCATTTATTTTGTTTTTTAAGGTCACAGCCTCTGCTCATGGTCCTCCTATCTGTTAGGAAACTTAATATCAGGATGTAAAATGACATTTACTGTGTGTGTGTGTGTGTGTGTGTGTGTGTGTGTGTGTGTGTGTGAGGGATACTAATGGAAGGAGAGATGGTGATGGAAGAAGATTAAGGTGATGGTGTATGTTAGCTGGACTTCATATACCTATATGAAACAGAACTAAGAAACCTCTTGCAGTTGCCTTCAGTGGAAGCGAAGAGGGGGCTGAGGGACAGAGACAATGGGGGGGGACAATGTAAATAATGAACAGTATAAGTCTAATTGGAACTGTCAATATGAATCCCCCCTGTATAATGAATATATCCTAAAAAATTTTATAAAAAATGAAGCTTACTATTTGGTTCTGAACTGAGTTACATTTCTTTTCATTCATGCAAAAGATCATTACAGCAATTATACCCTTCCTGCCTCATCCACATTTCCTCCTGTATGACACTTTCCACTTTTCTCACTTCACCATCACCTTTCTAGACAGAACACCTTTAGCTTTCACTTTACCTACCAATATTACTCATCACTGATCTTTCTGTTTCTCTTTTGCCTACATTCTAGTTATTGTCCCTATGGTAGCCATATTATCTTTAATATACTCAAAAATATAAAAATATAAGAACATGGTCTCATAACCCCCAATGTTTTTTGACTATATCAGGAATTAAGTTAGAAGTCTGTGTAGTACTATATTCAAGGAACTTTGATATACTCTTTTCGTGAATACTTAGAATGTGCAACAGCCTGTTTCTTCAAATTCATCTTCTACCACTCTCTGATGACTTACTGCATTCAAGTCATTTTGCTCTTCTTTCTGTATGATAAGCTTCTCATGCCAAACGGTGCTTACTCTTGCTGTTCTATCCTCACAAAACTTCATGACTCACTTATTTTTGTGACTTTGTGAAAATTTTACTGTTCCTAAAACTTCTATTTTAGTGATACTAAACCACATATCTTTTAAAACAATCTTTGTTTCTAAACACCTTTATACTTCATGGAAATGGAAAGTGATTTGTATTACTGGCTGCATATTGGAGACACCAAGGAGTTTAGCAATTCTAATACCTAGACTCCAACAATTCAATCAGAAGGTACAGAATTAGAGCACAGCAGCTTATGTTCTTTAGAGCTGGTGGAGATATTTCCCTGTGCAGTCTTGTTGAGAATAACCAGTCTAAGAGCTGAGTCAGAAACTGTGATTTCAGGATACATGAAACTAGGTCCTCCTTTCTAGCTTGTTCTCTTCTTTTTGTCCTCTTTCCCATTATCCTCCTTCATTTCTCTTTGTTCAGTAGACAAATTTACAGATAGTAATAATGAAGTTCAATAACTGTTATAACAGATGTAAAAGAGTTTATGGAGCATACACTGTAAAACTTTTTTCTAAAAAAGTAAAATTTGCTATAGCCTGAAATGATAACAAGATATTTTCCAACAGAGAATTTGGAACAGAGGAAAAAGTGAAAAGTGATAATATCAGGAAATTTAGGTATATTTAGGAAATAGTGAGAAATTAATTGTGGCATTTGCTGCTGAAGAAATGGTGTCTTGAGGACAGGGTCAGAATGAACGCTTGACTGGCAGCTCCTTTTGTTTAGAATGCTTTCCACATTCCTTTGTTCTTTATTTGACAAGATCATTTTCAGATCATTCCTATGTTCATTTTTTTGTCTCTTGTCCATATCATGAGTTTGTCTATATCTGTGTTTGTCTTGCATAATACCTAGGGTAAGTTTCCTTTCTTTAAGCAGTTGTTCTCACTTACCTAGTGCTTATGAAGTACTCATTGTGAGCCAGGATTTGTAAAGTAACTCTACCTTGTCATACTTCATAATATTTCTGCATTATTTTAAGGCCCTAGAATCTTGGATCTTCATTCCTTCACCCCTAAGATCTTTTGTAGACTTGCTTGACTTTTTGAATGGAGATAATACTTTCAGGTTTCTTGAGTAGAAGTCTCTGGAAGGCTAGGGAATAAGTGTTAGAATAGAATCTGTGGAGTCTAAAGATAAGAATTTAGAGAAAACAATATGATTGAAAGGGAGGCAGGGATCGTTATTTTAATTATTTAATAGGAACTTACCTGGAAATGTTCTTGTATATTCTTCTTAACAACCTCTTTGCCTCTGATTCTTCATGGAACACTATTTCTCCTTTTTGTTGCAGTGGGAAGAAAAGGACCACAGGAAGAAATTTCTGCCCACACCGGCTCTCCTCCTATATTTCTCTCCTACAATATAGCATATAAATTTTCTTATGGGCCAAGGCTCTCCCACCATATAAAGGAAATGTTGAACCCTATAATTTTATCTTTTGAGAACTCTAGGAGCAGCCATGACTCTTCAGAGACCATGAAAAGAAGCAGGTACAAGAAAAGGTTCATTAGAGAATCCCACTGGGCCTTTTATTATTCAAAGGGCAATGTGACCTGAAGAACAATTCCTATAGGAAAAGGGGTATATTTGATGATTCCCAGTTTGCATGTGATGTTAAATCTTTTCATGTTCATGTAGTTGCATTTATTCTCACTTTTATAAAAATAAGAACAGCTTATTTGGTGAGATTTTTATTCCATGAAGCCAGAGGGGTGCTTTTAACAATCTGAATTTTGCAATTAAACTTTCTTTCTCTGATAAAATGCTAAGTAACATTTTTCTGCATTTTGATATGGTAAGGAGATGCTTGTAGCTCTCTGTGGCAATCTAGATGGTGTTAAGAAAATTCTTGTTTGGTTGGTCTTGGCTGTACTGGGATTTGAACTCAGGGCCTGCTTGCTAGGCAGGTATTCTTACCTTCTTGAGACACTCTGCCAGCCTTCTTTTCTTCTTACTGTGTTAATGTGTGTTTTACTGTTGGGAAGTGGTTCTAATTTCTCAAACCAACATTATCTTCAGTGATTCTTAATTGTGAAATTATATGTGTAATACAATTAATAGACATAAAATTTATATACTATCCTAACCAAAATATAGAGAAACAAAATAATTTATAATATAGGTTGTATATGTAAAATCCATATAACACACATAAATATATATAATACATATATTCAATAAAGACAAATAAGATTTTATGTAATCTTCAGGCATTACAAGAACAGATAGCTAAAGAAGAAGTAAGAAGTTAACCTCTATAAATAGCACAATAGTAAATATAGGCAGGCAAAGGTGTGGTGGAACTAAAACCAAATATGTGATTGGACATTTCTTGGTGAAGTTCTGAAGAAATTAAGGCAGAAGTAATACTAGATTTATAACCAGTTTCCATGGGCTATTATCCAAGGGAGAGGATTTTTCATTCTCATTCCATTGGTGTGGGATTGACATGACTTGCTTTCAACATTGGGATGCTGGCAGACATAAGACAGTAGGAGCTTCATGTGTTTGTGCAGTTGGGCTTGACTGTGTGCTGGGCATCTAGTCTGAGAACAACATGCCCCAACTACCTTTGCTTTTTTTCATTGGATAGAATTGTCTCACTTCTGCATTCTGCCCAGTAAATGTCAAGAGGGGGACACTCCTCTTTCTCACCTGAGAGTCAGTTATTGATGTGAATTTAGCATATATTGTTTGTCCACATTTTGTTTCTTCAACCTGGATTTGCTAAAGTATAATTGTCTTGCTTAAACTATATTGTCTTGCTTTGTGCAATGTTACACAGTAAGTGTAACCTTTTTCTTACAACATTTGGCATAACCTACTTCTTTTTTAAAAATAGTGGCAGCATCCCATCTTTTGGATCAATTACAATTTATTTTTTTTGATTCTCATGTTCTCTTGACTCTCAAAAACAAAGCCGCAGGGGACACTGTTTCTTTCTTTCTTGTTTGTTTGGCAGTACTGGGGTTTGAACTCAAGGATTTGCACTTGCTAAGCAGGTACTTTACCACTTGAGTCACATCCTCAGCCTTTTTTGCTTTAATTATTTTTCAGGTAAAGAGTTGTATTCCCAAGGATTCCAAGATGGCGGCTAGAGGTAGGAAGCAGAAAGTGAGCCTCCTATAGTGAAATCTTGGAGAGACGCTGGAGACACACTTTGCAGGCATAATCACTGAGAAAAGGCATAACTTTGACCCCTCCACACCTCCAGCCGGTGCAGAGAATCTCCACTTCACATTAA